AAATGTTTCCTATAAAATATAGAATGTATTGTGGGAAGCATAAGTAAATATATATTTTAAAAAGCTGAGAAGGGGAAAAATACAAGGTGAATATTTCAAACAAATACTATAGACCAGTGATGGTGAACCTTTTTCTTGTGGCATGCCACAATTGTGTGTGCATGTGCTATCGTGCACACACACGTGCCCACACCAATTCAATTCTCCCCACCCACCTGCGCATATGCGTGCAACCCCCTCCCCCCGGGCATGCACGCACGAACCCTCCCCAGGCTCCCGAGGCTTTCCTGAAGCTCAGGGAGGACAAAAAACAGCCCCAACGAGCCAACCAGAAGGGTGAAAATCAGCTGGCCAGCATGCATACCAGAGTTGATGGCTGGCGTGCCAGCAAATATGGCTCTGCTTGCCACTTGTGGCACACATGGCATAGGTTCGCCATCACGGCTATATTTTAAGTTTTCTAGGAATCCTTAGTATTCTCTCATTTTATTAAACATAACTTTGTTAAACATTCCTTTTAACTGACAAACAATGCAACATTCTTTTTTTACTTAAGAAAAGTAAAAACATTTTTCCTCCCGAACGGAGGGGTGCATTTCTTTATCTTACTTTAGATCTAACACTGAGTTTTGAATATCTGGTGTGTAAGTGTTGGGGTGATGGGTGGCAGCACCATGATAATAAAATCTTCCCTGTGGTTAACCCAATTCACTCCCCGAACACTAAATTCTTGGTCTGCCCATTTCCTGATTAATATCGATTCCACAGAAGTAAATAATTCTGTGTTTAGCCAAAAGTACTTTAACATTGTATGTTAACAAAAACTCTTTATATCCTGTATATCATATACTGTTACTCTGTGATAAACGTTTGATATCTGACGTAATTATTCCATTTTCTTCCTTTTTAAGTGTTTTTGACAGGGAGCGATCGTATTCCTATACTTGGAATGAAGAGCCTTAGTCTTATTATCCAACCAACTGGAGGTGGAGACGGATATCTTCCAGTATCTCATACATGTTTTAATCTCCTCGATCTTCCAAAATATACCAACAAGGAAATACTGAGATCGAAGTTGATCCAAGCAATCGATCACTGTGAAGGCTTCAATTTAGTATAATGTAAAAACTCAGCACCATCCAATCATTTAATTGGGAACATTAAGCCAATACTTAGATCTGCAGTGTAAAATGGGTGATACCCAAGTGGTGGTGATTATAAGAAGCTTGTTCATAAACTATGTTCAGTGATCTGATTCTTTCACAGGAGCCAAAAATCCTTATATTAATGATTGTCTTGATGCGAACTGTGGAATTGCATTTTGCCATCTTAATAAAAATGCAATGTTGGAATAAACACAAGTTTCATAACTAAATTTTAGTATTTCACATATTGCGAAAATGTTGCTGTGTGTGTAAGATGTGTTTTTTTTTTCAAATCACTGAAAGTCAAATTAGATTTTCATTTTGTTAAAAGTTTCATTTTTAAAATATGCTCCAGCAGCAGTAGAGTATCTATTGCTTTATGGAATTGGGGCAGTTTTGTTCAAATAAACAAAGTTACAATAAATAGAAAGAGAAAGCAAGTACAACATATTTAGCCACTTTTGGAGATGGGTTTGGTGAAGAGAGAGTAATTTACCATGAGGAAAATTTATATAGCAACCATTTCATCTTGCAACTAGTTCATCTTCTTTTACAATGAAAGCAATCAAGAGAATGTCAATGCTGTTTTCATTGGCAGTTCCTTCACATGTCCATGGAGTTGTCATTTGCTAATTAAAACTATGAAAGAAAAATCCCTTTCTTAAATTTTGAGATTTCATTCATGGTAATCCAAATAAAACTCGGATGTTTGGCATGAGTGCACAATTATCAGCAAATTCTTTTTTCTCTTGGGCAGAACTAAGATTTTATCTTTCTTACTCTCAATTATTGGAGTAGTTTTAAAATTTTGGTTAAATTACTGGTTTTTTTAAGGACTTTGGTCATTGGAAGTGATACTTTGAACCAAGCAGATGAGTTATTGGGGGGATGGAGGGGAGAGATGTCAAGTTCCTGAATGTTTACATGTTATTAATAGTAATGACTTTCAGCTGTGAAATAAATATTTATTTTTTTTAGATTTATAAACTCCAGTGAAACAATTCAAGCATAAAATAAAAAAATATTTGAATGAAAATGTTGGATAATGTATACACGTAAAAGTCCCAGTTTTTTTGAACAACATGGAGAAAAAATTTTTAAGTCATGTGTCTAAATTATTTTAAGAGGGACATGTGTTCAAACTTCATTTGAATCCTGTCAGACATACTCAATTATACATTCAGGTCTGCTGAAGTAATGTGAAAAGGCATACTATCTTGAAGTGCCTGGAAGGAATAAGTTAAAAAGGACCTTGGTGGTCTTCTACTCCAACACCCTGATCAAACAGATTACCATTTCAGACAACTGGTTGCCCAGTCTCTTCTTAAAAACTGATCAATTGTTCTGCAGGAAATTTCTCCTTAGTTCTAAGTTGCTTCTCTCCTTCATTAGTTTCCATTGTTTGTCCTTGTTCTACACTCAGGTGCTTTGGAAAATAGCTTGACTCCCTCTTCTTTGTGGCAGCCCCTGAGATATTGGAGCACTACTATCATGTCATCCCTAGTCCTTTTAATAAAACTAGACATAAACAGTTCTTCAACTGATAAACATGCATGTTTGTGTTTTATTCTTTGCTTTCCTGCTTTACAACAGAAGAACAAAATAGCCTAGTATGTGACATAATCAGGTTTATTTGACTAGCTAAATTTGTTCTAAAATGTTGCTGTTAGAAGACCCAAATAATAAAGGTGAATTGGTTTCATTACTAATAGTGTAGCATATATATATAGACAAAAGGAGATGGGCATTCTCTCATTTAATCAGAGAACTAATAGTGGAAAATTAAAGTGTTTAACAATAACTCAACAAGTAGTATAAAACAGTTTTATCTTTGGAGAGGATCATAAATGTTCTGAGTTCAGAGCAGCGGTCCCCAATCTCTTGGGTACCATGGACCAGTTCCGTGTGGAAAAAAAATTCCAGACATCGTAGGTTGGCTATGTGCTACCTAGAGCCCACACATGCACAGATGAAGCTTCGCTCACTTGTATGGCCCAGTTTCTAACTAGCCGTGGACTGGTACTGATCTGCAGCCTGGACGTTGGGGACCCCTGCTTTACAGGGTCTCACAAGGACTAACAACTACTTTGTCAGACCTGATTAGGAATCTGCAAAATGGTCCATGAGTGATCTTTTAGGTCCAAATATTAGTTTCATCTGTGTTGGGATCAAAGCATGTGAGGTTTTTTCTGGGGATGTAGAGAGCATTTGGAAAAAGCCTAAGAGTAGTAACTATAGGAAAGTAGAAAAAGGGAGGATATGGTACTTTTAAGTTATCTAAGTAAGAGAATCTGCAGCCTGCAAATATTTGCAAATCAGTGGCAGACTAGTTCACCTCAAGCGTACAGTATCCAACCTGTCTCTTTCCCCACTACAAGAAACCACCATAGACTTACCCCCACCTTCTAAACCATCAGTGAGTGAGGTAGCTCACTTCAATAGGACCCAGAATTTGGAAGTCTGCTGCTCTCATCGTTCCTAGTACTTCGCTATTATCAAGACCATATATACCCATTGAAAGTAAGTGCATGATGTTATCAGATAGGAGCAAACCACTGGAGGTACAGAAAGCCCATATCCACCACTGGTAAACAGCATGTATACAATACACAGCAGGCTCAAGTGTCTTAGAACCAGAATCTGACCATTCAGTGAGGAAAGTAGCATAACTTAAATTCCCAATAATGATTTTAAAAAATTGACACAAAAGCCCCTGGAGGAGTATTCAATGTAAAAAAAAAATAGCTCACTACAAATATCTACAAATTTCCTCCCAGGTTGCTATGGTAATTTGACCTGCCAGATGTGTCTCCTTACCCTGAGGGGTCAAAGCTTTTGGCCCAGCCTTTATTGCATCAGAGGTCCTGGTTTTAGAAAGATTGTTTTTAAAAAGTGACTGGAGTAATATGGGTGAAGCAGCATATTATTTCTCACCAACTATATCAATTTCCATACTTAATAACACTGCATGCAAGATATGCACACATTGTAACAGCATCCAAAAGTTAACAATTTAATAGATTTAAATCAGACTGAGTATAAAACACTGGTTTTGTATTTCAAAAGTTGCAGGAAGAGAGCTAGGTCAATTTAAACAATCTTCTACAAAACATCTGCCAGTTGGTTACATAAAAGACACTATATACAATATAAAAGCAGAAAATAATTCACACTGTAAAAATAATTTAAAACAAAATATTTCCATTTAAAATATCTCCTATAGCACAAATACAGTTTGACATGCATGCCAAGCTAAACATATTGCATTCTTTTAAGTGTAATTGTTCAAGTTCTATTTATAACTTGGACAACAAGAAAACATGCCAACATTTCAAATGAACACAAAATGCCATTTTTAACACTTCATTATGCCGTGTTACAAATTGGATGTACTGTCTGTTTGAAAAGAACAACTCTATATATTTCAAAATGGAATATTAAAGAAATGCGAAAGAATTATTGGCAACTGGTTTTAACTACGGGGTTCAGCTGAAAAGTGTTTTCAAGAAGAAATTAAAAACCTACGATCAAACGAAGCACAAAGGATTGAGACAATCTACAGCTGAAACATTTGACACATCTATTTCAAGAGGCAGTTTTGAAGCAGCATTGGAACTCATTTCGGTTGCTGCTTTTTCTACATCAATCTATCAAGGAGTGGTAATGAGGTTCTCTAAACAGAGAAGCCTTTAAGCAGCATATTTTAAAGTTAAGGTAAAATTGAATTTTGTGTTTTACTGGATGCGTGAATAGCTCTCATTAAATGTTTGTATAAAAGTACTGAAAAGTATAGAAACACTTTTGTTCTTGGGCAAAAATTCCATCTATCCTGAACATTATATATACACCTTCCAACACTTAAATATTCACATCTTGGCAGCATACACAAAGATTTTATACATTGTTTTATATACCAACTTCCTGCACTAAATACTCATGTTAACAGGGTTAATGATTTATCTAATACTTTCTTCCTGTAATTTTGTAAGCCAATAAGCATTATTATGTATCTACAGAAAATTGCTTTATTTTAGCCTTTATTTTAAAAATAGCATTTTCATTTATTTAAATAGGTTTTTAAAATGCTATTTTCTGGTAACCTAAGGAATTTTCAGATGCTCACTGATGTCTAATTAACATCTAATATGATTGCATGCAAATATATCCAACATGAAGAGTTCAGAAAACATAGCTGCCATAGGTATTTGGGGAAAATCTTCATATTTAACAACATATTCTTGCAGCAGCAGACTAAGGAGACATAAATAAAATGAAATGTTGCAAAGCAAGAGAGGTATGAAAAATACCATTCTTTGGTCTAGATTAGCTGTTCCCTTTATATTATATTAATATTATGATGGCTTTTTAAATGGTTCAGAAATAACACAGGGTGAGATTTATAAAGCCAAAAATAATGTATATGTGCGAATACACACACTCACACAACACATATTAATAACAATGAATGTAGTGACAGTAAAAGATACTTAGTACCTTCCACAAAACTCAAAATTCAATAAAGATTAGTGTTGAGTGTGTCTTTATAGAATTCAATTGGAAAAGTTAGAAAACTATGCATGAAAATCTACTCTAATGTTTATAAACATCGTTGTTTGCCTTGTTCTGAATTCAGTATACATTCATTCCAACATGCCGAAATTGCTAATGCTGGTGGAAAAGTTCCTGAAATAAATCAGTAATTATCTTACAACTTGTCTGATGAACTGTCAAATTCTACTGTCTGATTTACAGAAATTGATTCGTCAACAGATTCTGGAAGATCAGTTCCATCTTCCTCAAATCCATTCTCCTCTTCTCTGTCAGGAGTGTCGGCCTCTTCCTCCTCCTCCTCCTCTTCTTCTTCTATGCCATTGTAATAGTCTTCCAGTTCACTCTCCTCTTCTACATCTAAGCTTGGGCTCCGACATGATCCACTACCGCTGCTACTTCCACAAGAGCTGGAGGAGATGACATCATCTTCAGAGTCTGAATAAACTTCAGCGCCATGGAAAATATAGCGATTTGGTGGTGAAAACAAATATTGAGTACCTGAAACAGGTTTGATCAACAACAAAAAGGGAAAAGAAGAAGGCATCATCACTAAGAATACAATCATACATAAATGCATGACACTTATAGTTCTGAACTCTCCATATCTTATATTTTTTATAAGGAAACATTTATTTGTGTCAGTAGGACCAAGGGAAAACTATTATAATGCAGCACTAAATTACCGTATTTTACAGAGTATAAGACGCACCGGAGTATAAAACAGACCAAGATTTTGAAACAGTAAATTTAAAAAAAAGTTTTTGCACTCTGCAGACCTCCCAAAAATGGGCCGTTTTTCGTGAAAACAGGCCCAGTTTTTTTAAAGGGCATGAATAGCTTTTAGGAGGTTTATAAAGTGTTCCTGGGGGAGGGGGCAAAAATGAGCAAAAAACAGCCCATTTTTTGCAAAAACGGGCCCGTTTTTTGTCAAACAAAGGGCATGGATAGCCTTTAGGTGGCTTATAGACTGCTCCTGGAGGCTGGGGGTGGGGGGAGGCAAAATTGAGCAAAAAAATGGCCCGTTTTTTGCTCATTTCTGCCCTTTCCAGCAACCAGGAGCACTCTGAAAGCCTCCTAAAGGCTCTTCAGGGCCTTTTTGGTGAAGGGGCGGGGTTTCGGGAGGCACAAAATGTTGTATTCAGTGTATAAGACACACCCATATTTTCAGTCTCTTTTTTGAGGGAAAAAAGTGTGTCTTATACTCCCCAAAATGTGGTAACTTGCTTTTCTCTCTCTCTGCTTTCCCTCTTGCGTTTTATAGCTACTTAATAGTATGTTGATGTTTGTTGCCATTTAGTTTCAAATGCTTCAAAAACACACCTTGTCCCATTTTAATGATTCATAGCCTTTCTAAATTAACTTTAATTAGACCAGTCCAAACTTTTCACTATACATTAACATATACATTACGTCCCTTTAAAATGGCTCTGACATATTCTGTTCATGGGAGACCAGTTTCTAAGACTTTTAAAGCAAGGCAAATATAAAGAGTTATTTATTTGTTAAATTTATTTGCTGCCCATCTCTGTACACTGATGTATCCGTACCTCAGTATGATAACCAAAAAGATGGATGGGTGAAGAAGAGCAGAGAGCACGGAGGAGGAGAAGTGGAGTCTGCCATCAATCTAGCAGCTACCCCCAGCGTGGAATTCCCCCATCTGGTCCCCAGGCCAATCGCTAGAGCCAGGTCTTCTTCGAGTTGTTGTGGAAGGATAGGAGGTTGGGGGGCGGATCTTACTGTAGAGGGTAAGATGTTCCACAGGGTGGGCGCTGCAGCAGAGAAGGGCTCTTCTTCTGGATCCCGACAGTCGGAATTCTTTGACCAACAGGATCTGAATTAAGCCCTTTCTACCAGCATGAAAAGGACAACCTTGCCTTAGCCTAGTGGTAAAAAGTGGTTCCTCAGATAGCCTGGACCTATGCTATTAATGGCTTTAAAGGTCATAAGCAACTCCCTGAACTGCACTTGAAAGTGGATCATATGTAATTTATGTAATTCTTATGTAATATGAATGCAATTATCTAATTGCCAAGATGTGTTTTAAGTTCAGATTAAGTCCAATTATTTTTTTATTTATTAAAATCAGCTTCTTCTCTAAAAGACTCACCTAAATCAGGAATTGTGTCAATCCAGTCTAATGACGTAAATAAATATGGCCCTAAGCTTCAGATCTCACCATCAAAAAAATCTATTCAAAACCAGCACCATAGACTGTACAACAGGACTGCAATAGGACTAAGATTACCACAAAGGGTTTGTGCTACAAATATTCTCTCACAAACTAAGCAAGGGATATGACAAAAAAAACCACATTTTTTTTTAAAAAAACAGGATTTTATCTTTAGTATAACTGACATTCTGAAATGGAAGAAAAAAAAAACAAAGCAAACAAATATTAACAAAATGGGTAATGTAAGAAATACAAAACACATTCCCACATTACAACTTGTAGGCAAAAACAAAAGCTTGTGAATAGTATGCCTGCAGCAATACTATTCAGCACTAAGTACAAATACCATACCAGCTTCTACCTAATGCTGTAGAAAAAATTATGAAGAAAAACTATACAATTCACTTTTTCACATAAACTAATATACACTTATATTTACAGCCTAAAGAAAAGATTACTTCCAAATTCTTTTTCTATTTATCTTACAAGAGTTGTTCTAAAGATGGTAACGTTTTTCATTCATTTAGACCAGGGGTGTCAAACTCGCAGCCCAGATGTGTCACATGCTGGCCCCGCCCCCACCTGGTTTAGCAAAACGGAAAAGTCCCAATACTTCACGTGACGTGACGACGTGAATTTGACACTCCTGATTTAGATTGTAAGTCTGTTGACAGGGTTATACTTATTGAATGCATATTGGTCGGAGATTCTTTTTTTAACTTAAAGTTTCTGACACAGCTCCTGCCCATTGGAACATCTTGCCACAGGAGATAAGATCTGCTCCCTCTCTTTTAACCTTCAGGGAAAGTCTTAAAACTTGGTTGTGCCAGCTGGCATGGGTTCCTGAAGGAGAAGCTAGCTGGAGGTGCTTGGTGCACTAAAAAAATAAGGCACCCCCACCTCTCCCCTCCTCCTAATCCTTGTTCTTTAGCTTGTTTACTTTTGTAACTTTAATCAGTTTTTATATTTATTACTATTGAATTTTTGGATTTTATTCACTCAGAGTTACCTTGAACCTTGAGGTGGGCAGCAAATCATTTTGATAAATAAATACACTATAGCAAGGTTTTAAGTAAACATGAGCTAAAACTTTCACTGCCTCAATTTCAAATCCTTCTATAAAAGCGAGAAAATGGCATTTTTCTTTGGGGAGGTGTTGCAATGAAATGTACATTTATGTAGACCAAACATAGTAGTGACTTTTCTATTCCTAGCTTTCTAGACGTGTCCTAGGAATTGTGCTGGTAGAAAACAGAATGGGATCTCTTGAACTAGATGATCTAATAGTGAAAACTAAGCAGCATGTTTCTCTCTCAATATTCTGCAAAATATTTATTTCTCCTCCCCGCTTTCTAAATTGGGCTACAAGGATAGAATAAAGTTTGAAGGAATAGATTTTTCTGGAGTTCTGAAGATTCCTTGAGACAAGGGTCTGCAACCTTGGCAACTTTTAAGACTTGTGGATATCTGGGAGTTGAAGTCCACAAGCCTTAAAGTTGCCAAGGTTGCAGACCCCTGCTTTTAAAGGAATCTTGGGCCTTAATCCTAATATCCCATGATCATAAAGAATATTACTGCACCTGTTGATGAATATGAATGAAGTACATCTTGCAAACCTGAAATCTGATCACTTCACCCATACTTAACTAACTATTCAGAACCAAAGCCTCGTCTCATAGAAATGACTACAGGGATTCCTGCTCCTCTAAACCAACACTGATTAAAAACAAAACCCATTAATTTCGAATACTATCCAGAATATGTTATATACAATATAGTTAATTTGTTCCCAGTTTTTAATATTATCTAACAATAGTTTAAAATGAACATTTCTAATAGATTAGCTCTTTGGCTATAATCCGTTTATTTTAGATTTTCTGTCCTGTATCAGCGTTTCTCAAAGTGTAATTGGTCCAAGGATCTCTGCCCCCCCCCCAAAAAAAAAACCCCTCTCAAGGATCTGTAAAATTAAATTATTTGCCAGCCTGTGTTGAACAATAATATTAGAACCCTATCAAACCATTATGAGAAACAGTAATGGCAGCAAATTAATCACTATTAATTTTAGCATGGTAAATATTGATAAATATAACCCCTACAAAATTGGGGGGGGGGGTTTAAAATTGGGAAGGGTTCCTGAGGGGAACACAATTTAAGAGACACTGCTATAACATGGTAGTAGGCTAGGCTGGGCTGTGTTTTTTTACCAATGCCTGACTGAATGTTTCAATGTTACATTGAAGCATTCAAGGAAGAATTATATTTGAATACTCCAAAGTTATTCTAAAACATAATATGAAATAATAACCAATTCTGTTGTATTTAAGTACAATGACAATAAAGATTATAGTTAAAGAAAACATTCAAAGCAGTGCTTTTACAATAGACTTAGCACTTACCATCAAGCCGCTTGCTAATTTGCTCTTTTGCACATCTATTCAAGCAATATTTTCTCACTGTTTCAACAGAGATTTTTTCACTTGTTTCTTTGTTTTCTTCTTGATTAGATCCAGGTTCCTTCACATGTTCTGTAGTTTTTAACTGACCATGAGTACCTTCTGAATTTTCTAAAGAGTTATGGACTTCTAGTGGTCTTTCTTCTATAGAGTTTTCCTTAGATTCCAAAGCAACATCAGAATTTCCTGCTTTATATTGATCAGAATGCTCTGAATGTATCACTTGAGAATCTTGTGATGGAATTCTGACAGATGAACTAGAAGATTCAGAAATGTTTAAAGGAGTGGGTGGTAACTCTGTTAAATGTTTTTCAAACTCTCTGTGAGGCCGTGGAGGTTTCTCTGTTATTTCTGAAAGCTGAATGGAACTATTACAAAGTTTTGAATATTCTCCACCCAATCTATGACATAATTCATTGATAATAACATCACAGTCACCAAGAAGCTCGACATCAAAGTGTAGATGAGGCAATGGTTCCCTATTAATTAGAATCTGAGGCACTTCATGTGGGATGGAACCTACATATTTAAGAAAAAAATAAAGTGAGCTATTAACAACTGGATAATTTTTTGGAATATATGTAACTATATAAATGTCTGAATCCTGCCTAATTCTATGGTATTTAAGATAGACAGAAAGACACATTTATACACACACACACACCCCTAGTATATTAGACTTATATAGTGCTTTACAGCCCTCTCTAAGCGGTTTACAGAATCAGCCTATTGCACCCAACAATCTGGGGGACATTCATTTTTATCCACCTTGGAAGGATGGAAGGCTGAGTAAACCTTGAGTAAGCCTGGTGAGATTTGAACTGCCAAATTGCAGGCAGCTGACAGTCAGCAGAAGTAGCCTGCAGTACTGCACTCTAACCACTGCGCCACTGAGGCTTATATATATATATATATATATATGTGTATGTATGTATGTATGTATGTATGTATGTATGTATGTATGTATGTATATATGTATATGTATATGTATGTTTTTTATTTGTGCTGATAAATAAATAAAGGGAGACTAGTATAGATCTATTTCAAGCTATGTAGCTCTCATCAGCTAGCCATACCCTTACTGGGATTCAAACCTGTGCTGTATTGCATCTTAGGCAAACGTCTTAGCCATTATGCCACAGGTCTCCTCCTTATCAGCTGAAGCCAGGGAAGAAGGTATATATTTAGTGTCACAACCCCTGGTAAGCCCCAATTATGGGAGGAAGCTAACTGCTTCCATCATCTGTCAATCGGCTCGTCACAAGAGTCCATCACGACAGAAACCCAATATTTTTACTGTTGCCTTTGTTATATTTGTGTTTTTTATTTGTGCTTATATATAATATTTATTTTTCCTACCATGCTTCCACATCTATGAAGTTTTCTACTTTGTATGGTTTCTAGCACCATTTGTCATGATCACTAATTAATTTAAACTGTACTCTCTGTTGTTCTCAATAAATACATAATCAATACTCACTTGGAATCAATGCTACTGGTCTTACTTTAAGTGAAGACCCAATAACAATCAGAAGATCAACTTCATCTTTGTCATATTTCATGGCCCTGTGAAACTGCTCTGGTAGATTTTCACCAAAGAATACTATTTCTGGCTTCATGATAGCAAGGGGTTCATCAGGTGAACATCTGGGACATCTAGGAACAACCTGATTAAAGAATTTGCATTAGCACTGTTCATTTTATACAAGTAGCACTCATAACTGACAAACCTTTAATAAAAGAATGAAGCACAACCTACAATTTTTCGGAGTATGAGACGCACCTTTTTCCCTCAAAAAAGAGGCTGAAAATCTAGGTGTGTCTTATACACTGAATACAACATTTTTTTGCCTCCCAAAACTCTGCCCCTTTCATTAAAATGGCCGTGCATAGCTTTTAGAAGGCTTTCAGAGAGCTCCTGGGGGCTGGGGAGGGCAGAAATGAGCGAAAACAGCCCTGTTTGCCCCACCCCCCAGCAGCACTCTTCTAAGCTTCCTAAAGGCTATCCATGCACTTTTTTGACAAAAAACAGGCCCTGTTTTTGCAAAAAATGGGCCATTTTTTGTTCATTTTTGCCCCACCCTCACCCCCCCCAGGAGCACTGTACAAGCTCCTAAGGACTATTCATGCCCTTTTTTAAAAAAAAAAATACAGACCCGTTTTTACGAAAAAGAGGCCATTTTGGGGAGGTTTGCAGTGCAAAAAAAAATTTTTTTTTAAAATTCTCTTCAAAACTTTGCTCCATCTTATACTCCAAAAAATACGCTAGGTTGCATATTGGTGTGAATTTCTGCCAAGGACTATAAAGAGAAAAGATATATGTTTGCAGCTAAGGAACTGACTAATGAAATCATATCTTAAGAATCTGCCAGATCTGAAATTGCCTATAAAACCTTTAAAATTACAGCAATTATGTCAGATTATAGGGCAGCCAGCCATCTTAGTGTCTTCAACCTTCTAAACTTTATTTTGCAAGATTCTTCTCTTATTTTAGCTTTGTTATTTGTTTGGATACTATATGTGAGTTTATTTCATTTTGTCATGTTATCCCATACCTCCCCCACATCCCCCGGATTAATTATGTCCTTGTAAAAGATTGCTATTGTCTTTGGTGCTCCTTGAACTTGGTTTTTTGCTTGCAGACATTTTACTACCGTACTAGGTAAGCATTATCAGTGCTCCAATGCTTTGTTCAATTAGTCTATCATTACAATGGTTCTACTGAGAGGTTGAGACGTTTTATTCTAGCTTAAGTGAAAATTTCCATAGGAAAAGGACAAATGCAAACTACTTTCATTTCCCTGTCATTAGAATATTACTGAAAATCAAAATGAACTCTAGCACAGCTACCGTAATATTTCCCAGACCTATTATAAATTTGGTGTCAGACCTGCTGCCTCAGCTTGAATTTCTAAGTAAAAACAATCTTTAACACTATCGGGTGGAGAAAGGTATAGTTTACTAGAAACCATGTGAAATACAGTGGTGTAAAGCCAGAACTGAAATTCATACACGAAATTCTGACACTTGGCAAATTTTACATTTGTGATGTGGTAAATTTTGTAATAATATGCAATTTGCAATTGTATCCTAGGCCATCTAGTCCAACCCTATATGATACATGAAGATCAAGATTAACAGCACCATCATCAAACTGCTAGCAGTCTTACTTGAAAAGCTTTAATAAAGGAGAGATTGCATTTAGCTTTCATTGACTTTATTAAAAAGTAATGTTCAACTTAAGTGTACCCCTCTTGTCATTTAAAGGATTGGTGACAGTGCTTTAGGTTTTTAAAGAATGCTATCATGTCCTGGTCAAGCATACACACTTTCTTCAATCCTTCTTAAATGTATGTTTGACTGCAACATGAACTCTAAGGGGCAATTGCAAAATTATTTCAATTGATCCTTTTTTTTAAATGCAGTACTTTGTACTAGATGGCATTACTCAGTATCACTATTAAGCAATGAACTATTCTTTGCATTTAATTTCCATTTTCTTTTTCAAATGGAGAACTGATAAGATGCAAATATAATTACATAAATAATTATATATAATGCAACTGTGGAGCCTCCAACAGGTTCTTTATAAAGACAAGTAATCACAATAATTACTGTGTATGTAGCTACGATTCACATATTTAGTTTCAGAGAATGCTATATTTTAAGTTGTACTGGATCAATTTTAACGAAAAGATTTTGCATGCTTACAGTTATATTTTCAATGTATTTAATAACATTCCTAATACCGTGTTTCCCTGAAAATAAGACAGGGTCTTATTTTCTTTTGACCCCCAAAATAAACATTTTTTCACTGTTTATTTTCAGGGAGGTCTTATTATTTTTGAGGTGCAGGAGGCGGCAAGCGTGATCACCTCATGGCTGCTGCTGTGTTGGAATATTTTCTGGGAGGGCTTATTTTAACGCATGCGCTCAAAAGCTCAATTGGGCTTATTATCTGAGGATGTCTTATTTGGGGGGAAACAGGGCATATAGTTCTTTTTCACCAGTCAATTCTTAACTAATAATTACCTGATTAAAAATATCTCCTCGTACAACTTCACAATCAACCTTGTATTTACAGATGAGGCAAGAAGCCGTTGCAAAGGAACCTGAAATACATATACCAGCAAATAAAGGAACATACCAGTTGTCAAGGTTTTTTTCCCCACTCAGAGATTTTATTAGTAATACATGTACTTTCAATATATTCATTGTATGCAGTACACGAAACCGAGCAAGTGGCTGGATATTGTAATGGTTAGAGTGTTGCCTCTGACAGAGGAATATGGCCCTCAAATTTGAGGATTAGAGAGAGAGCACATCTGAAAGGTTTTAATTAGAAAGTTGATATATATGTTTAAAAAATGGTGCTAGGATACATTGTTTCACCCTCTTGCCAGTTTGAATAAAGTTGGAAAGATCTCTGATTGCATGTAAGGCTAGATTTTATTGCATAGTTTATTGAGTAGGAACATGTTGGAAAACGTCTGTGCCTGACAAAGCAGGACTTTTTTGTCTATAGAGGATCTGCTTAGACTGTCTCAAAATCTTATCCTTGAAATATCATCAAAAACTGTCTTAAAATCAATAAAAGGGCTGCATAAATATTCAAGTCAAGAGTCGTTGATATATTGTTGATGTTGAAGCACTACTAGTCTGTAGCAGATTGTCCCAGTTGAAACTCTACTTGCTCAGAATTGATTATTCCCTTTTTTATTACCCACATTTGGAGTTTGCTAAATAGGTACTGTACCTGGCTTATAGTTTACTATAGTACTCGACCTAGGACAGTAATTGCGCCTGAGGTTATGGATGTAAATTATGCTGGTCATTAAGTGCTTCATCAACATAGCAGACCCAATTTTACGTCATTTTGCTTAGCACATCACTATGGCATTAAATCTATGGTTATTAAGTGACTGCCGGGTCATAAGTGAATGCATTGTTCACAATGGGCAGTTTTTTTGCCAGAAACATAAGTAAACCTTTTTGGGGGAAGGCGGTCAATACTAAATTCAAACAGTCACTAAGTAACCCATTGTAAGTTAAGAACTACCTGTAGTGATGCAATAGGCATATAAGTAGCTATAAATTATTTAATTAATAATTAAATTACTATCACCCTTTTATACAAGGGGACGATTATGGCTTCTTTCCATTCCTCTGGGATCTTGGTTGTGTGATTAATGTATGAGGCTAATACAGGAACCTGCCAATATGAAATTGATTTAATTAGTCAGGGGCAGGGGATAGGAAATACAGTCACTGCCATGGACTTTATCACACTTATTCTAGTTAATGCGAGTTCTGACTTCCTTGCATATGACTGGGGGCCACTGTAATGGTGAAGATAATGGTATATCCATCACACGTGCTAAAGGTGTTAGCATGCAGACCACAAAAGGCTTGGAAATAGTATACTTGAGGAGATACAACAATGGAATTGTGTAAAGTTGTTATGCAAACAGTTTGTTATAGAATGCCAGAACAAGGAAGGATTTTTAGACAGTGTGGCTTTGATTAGTTGTTATCATTTTCTCCTCATCTTTATTATAACTATGTATCAAGGATAGAAAAGAATGTATATTTCACTTACCATGGCACTGGATTATCCTTTGAATTCCTGCAACTTGTTCCAGTGTATCTATGTTCTGAGTATAATTGCGAAGGAGTTTTCTTTCTTTATCCATTAAATCAATAAATTTATGACAAAGAGATGGCTGAAACTGTCCAGGATATATTTCCTGAAAAGAAAGCAAACAAGATATTGTCAATAATGTCTGCAATTGTTACATAGACCACATATACAAGTTCAACATACAATAAAAACTACTAATGAAAAATGTAGCAAATGCTTGCTGTTACATATCTACTACTTGGTAAGGGAAATGAATTGTTGGGAAGCATAATTTAGAAATCATATCTTGCTGCAGCTTCCCATAGTTATTGGGAACAGAATACTAAAAGAGCAATCCTGCACATTTAATAGAGCTCACTTTGGAGTAGATATAAATAGGATACCACATATATAATCCAAATCTCAGAATTTCAATTAATCATTAAGTAATTTCACAAACTTGAAATATTACTGAAAGACAACAGAAGTTTCCCAACAAATATTACTGACCTGTGAATATACTAAATACAACTTAATTATAGAAAATCACGCCCTTGACATTGCAAATTGCATAAATGCTGATTGGGAAGGATAGAAAACTGCTGAATCTACTTTGCTAAAGGCAAAATAGTCCAGAGCACAATCTATATTAGCACTAAATACGTTAATGCAGTTTCTACATCAAAATGTCATATTGGATCTAGAAAATGTGTCTTTACTGTCATAGCACCCCCTCCCATCACCATTACAGCATCCCTACAGATAGACTGCAGCCTCTCATCTAGTGTTTCAAAAAGCCCTTCAAATCTAGCTTTGTTATCAAACCAGGGAATATTATGTTGAAGATGGAAACTGTCATGCTTCGTTTTAATGACTGTTTTTAATCTGGCCATTTGTTTTGTGTCTTTTTTAAAATATATTTTGTAAGCAGTTCAGGGTCCGCCTGAAGAGGTGGGCCTTCTCCAGGTGCCGTCGACTAGACAATGTCGTCTGGCGGCCCCTCAGGGGAGGGCCTTCTCTGTAGCTGCCCCGGCCCTATGGAACGATCTACCCTGAGAGATCTGGACCCTGCCCACTCTCTCGGCCTTCCGTAAGTCTACTAAGACCTGGCTATTCCGGCAGGCCTGGGGCTGTTGACCTCATGACTGAGGTCCAGCCCCACTAAGACTGAGTGCATGATGTGTTTTTTAACTTGTTTTTCTCTATTTCATTCTTTGTTTTTGTATTCTTTTGTAGCTGTTTTTATGTAAGCCGCCCGGAGTCCTTCGGGATTGGGCGACATATAAATTTATTAAATTTACAATTTACATAACAAATTTAATGAAATAAATAGCTTGGTACTACAATTATATCCTAAATCATCTATCATCTAACTTCAATGACCTCTAAGTCATGCATTATGCTGGGGAGAAAACCTAGTTTCCCAAATCTAAGGATTTTAGTCTATTACTGTCCTTATTCAGACTGAACCTCAAGTTGAGGTTGATTGGGTATAGGTGGGTTTGTGAAAATAGTAAGATACACTCCATAAATAGGTGCAGTATCAAATTACTACATCTCTCCTTTGTCTCCTCTCTATGTCTCAAGTTTGTTCCAAATCCCCTCCTCATCCAGGGCAGATTTATGATGCAAGCAGATATATATCGATTTTGCTGGTGGATCTACAGTATTTCACCAAGACAACTTCACTGGATCTTTCCCAATGTGACCTAATTGGGGTGTTCAAATAAAAAGATTTAGATGTACGAAATCTGTTGGAAGTTTTTAAATGATTATCTTTCAAAGATTAAAAAAAATCAAAGAGACAATTAGCACCTTGGCAAATTTGAAAAATGGCCTTGGATCTTTTCGGAAGTATTCTATGTCAAACATTGCTTGAGGATCAGGAAGATCTGGGAAATCAACTGCTAGGCGGGCATATATACCATCTCTTGATCGGAAGTCAGGAATACCACAAGAAACTGATACCTAAAACGGATGGCAAAATATAGAATATATAGCAGACAGTTGCTAATATTGTTGCAATTAACAAAGATTCTTTTATCAAAAATGACCTGTGAAATACTCACTGGTATTCTTTAAAAAAACCTACATGTGAGGAAAGTCTAACTGCAAAAGAAACAGTGTATTTCTTTACATCTATATGAAAAAAATTACCATGCGAGGAAATGCCAATATAACTGTAGCCAGAGCACCTAAGAGAATCAAGCATGTTAGACTTGTAAATTAATAATACTTGCTTTATTTTATTGATGTCATTACCATTCCACAAAAACGAAAACAGGGACAGCCTGACTCTATTAGCAGTAGTAGCATGATGCTCTGTCATGTTTCCTGAAACTCAGACTAGTAATACTAGCGTATATAGTCATATAAGCAGAGAATATCAGGTGCCAACATACACCCCCCAAACTATTCATGGACTTATCTTAGTATACATTGTACACTTTTTAAGTACCGTATTTCTCAATATACTTGTGAATAAGCCCATCTGCTGATAATCCGACCATCAATTTTTGACATCCACAAATGACACATTTTTAATGGTATTTTCATTAAAAATTTGAGGGTAAGCATATCCACAGATGGATTTATATGAGAATATATGCAGTACTATTTTCAGATCATAGTGGTACACTTTTTCTTATTTATGAGTCACCAGCAAATAACTTGAACTACAACACTAAGGGTTGCTGCTATTTCAAAAAGTTAGAGAAACTATTACCAATAACAAGATGACAAAATAAGAACTGCACCATACGCTGCACTGTTTCATATGTGGAATCACAACTATTTGCTCAGGGGTAACAATTACATGGCACAGAGCAATTATTCATATAGCATTTATACTCAATGAGCATATTAAAACATCAAACATGTATTCCATTCGTGAATACATACCCCAGCTCCAGTCAATACAATTATTTTTTTGCATTCTTGCAGGAGTTTCACTGCATCCTCTATAGTATTAATATCTTTTCTCTTTTTTCTTTTAGGTGGTTCTGAGAGAATATTAACGACAATTTGCCATAATGTCATATTATCCAATTCAGGAGGAGGAATTGTTTCTGGCAATAGGTCTTTCAGAATTGCACGTGGATCTGTGCCTATCATGAGATGTTGTTGGACAAAAGTGTATGGACCTATTATGGAAAATAAAATAAAATAATTATGAGTACAAGATAATATAGACAGATTAAATGAGAATATGAGCCCCTCACTACTTTTCGGGTGCTTCTGGACTGAAAGGATTAACCAGCTATAAGGTATTGCCCAGGAGACGCCCGCATGTATTTATGGCACACATTTTTCAGGGAAGCTTTTAACTTCTACATATTTTAATCTTGTATTTTATATTTTAAATTTTATGCCATATAGTATGACTTATTTTACTTGTGAAGTTTCTGACAGAATAAACAAATGAGAAAATTGTGTAATTTCATCTGCTGTATTTGGAATAGGAAAACGCATTGCACTTCATGCCATAAAAAGCAGAGGCAGTGATATTATGAGTAACTTCTATTTCAGCAACCCTAAGGCTTCTTCACTTACTAACATCTTATCGGTAGTTAGGAACACGCAACACCCAGAATCACCTTATTCAAAGCCCTGTCATTCTTGCTCTGGAAATTTTCTCCCACCCAGTTGTCCTTTTGATATTGTTTACCTCCTCAAATTTATCTATAACATCCCTTCATTACTTCCACAAGATAAAAAAAATGCCCTAATAAAATACTATAAAACTGCCCTAATAAAGTACCAACTTTTACACTTTTTTAAAGAAGTGTGTTTTATAAAGATGGGACCATTTATAGGTAGTCCTTGAAATATAACCATAATGGAGCCTGCCTATTATAGTTGTTATCCTATGAGAATCATAAATCAGGTTGGTCATGTGAGCGACACTATTTTACAATCTTTTAATGCAGCAGTCATTCAGTGAGTACCACAGTTATTAAGCAAAGCATTGTTTGCTATGACTATTCTTGCCAATAACCAACAATAAATTATGTTTTTTTTTACCAAACTGCTGCAAAAGGCATCATGTGACCATATGCAGCTGTATTGCTGAGCACCGAAAATGTGAGTCAGAACTTCAGAACCAGGTCAACTTGCTTGCCTCAGGTAGGTCGTAACACTGAATGGTTGCTAAGTGACCAGTCATAAGGTGAGGACTACCTGTATAACATCTTTTCATATGTATACATGGAGATAAGTATGTAAAAAAGTAGATGAGGAAAACAATTTGGGAAGCTTCTTCTTTTATAAAAAGAATCAAAGATCGAAGTACATTATACATTTCTGCCCACAACTCTTAATCATGCATTTAAAGTGCCATAGGAAGAATCTCTGAGAACACTATAGTTCCATGCTTCTATGAAGGTGGCATTCTTTTCAGCTGTTAAGATCAAGTGCTATTAAACTCAGGGGAATGGAAATTACACACATTTCACAAGCAGCAAGTGGCAGACTGTATAAAACGAATAAAGTATCCCAATGTTCTCAACGTTAATAGGAAAATAAATGAAGAACTGAGGTGATTTTAGTCCAGAAGATGCTGGCTAGGAAATTTTGAGAATTGAACTCCATACATCTTAAAGTTGTCACAATTGAGTACTGCCTTAGATTAACAACTAAATTTTACCTATCCGTGGCCTTGGAGTCCAATCACTGGAACTTGCATGAGAGGTTCTATCATCTTCATCACTGTCACAAGAATGGAAGCCATTTGCAATAATTTCATCACTAAAAAATACATCTGTAAAATGATGATAAAGTTATTGCACAAAAGTAGTGCCATCATATTTCTAATATACTATATTGTTTTGCACACATATAAGGAAGCAAAAATATTATTGAGGTATGGTTTAAGTAATAGTATTGGGTAGATAAAAATCAGTAAACTTAAGTTTTATTATGTATAGAAATAAATCTATGATAAATGTAGTTTTAATTTTGGCATCTTCAATTAATGGAAAACGTGTGGCTGAAAAAAACATATTTTTAAAAAATATTTTTATGAGCCTTCTTAAAATTTTCTACACCTTTAGAATGTAAGTGCAGCTTACATTTATGCTTATATTTCTACAATTAAATGTACAAGGAGACAAGGAGAAACAAATTTCCAATACATACACATATGCAATTATTAATATATGCAATATAAACAGCAAGTGTTAAAAATAAGTCATGAGACTCATTTAGAATGTTGTTATTTCTGCTTTATACTACTGTGTATAATTTCTATATAATGTGTTGTCAAAAATGATCTTAAGGTGTCAATATATTTTCAATCTTTTAAACTATCCCAGCAATTCTTGCTTTTGGAAAAAACATTCTCTTAATTTCAAAAGAAAGTTGCATCCAACTTCCATCCCTATTCAGATGTATTCATAGATTTAAACTCACTAAAGTTGCAATCTTGTATTTGCTTAAAAATATATTCCAATTATATAACACAATGGCTTTCAAGCAAATATTTATAGAACAAGATACTGAAGCAATTGATCTATAACCTATATGCGTGTGTGTGCAAATATGTGCATACACACACACAGAAGTGATACTGAACTGATTTAATATTCTGACAAATCCATACAGCATTGCAGTCTAATATTAAACAATTACTGTCTATGCATGTCCATTTTGTTAATGGGAAAAATTACCAATCCGTCTAGTACAATTTATCTTAGAGTTAAGCCAATTTTAATTTAAAAAAAATACACTTGCAAAAGAAACTTCACACATTCAGCACTAACAGTTTTATAACAATTAGTATTTTCTTTCATGCCTCCCTAAAAAGAGCTAACATTTTCCTTGGCAATCTTGAAGTCCTTATCCATCCTTAGGGTAAATCCTCATGAATCCAGTGAAGATTATCGCATTGCCATAAGGACAGGATGCACATTTTGAAAAAACTGTTCAGTTGTAAGAATGAGAATAAACTCATTCTTCAACCATGTGTATCATAAACAAGAAATAAACGAGAGTTAAAAAAAGACCAAAGAGCCTGGGATTGCAGGGGGCTCTACCGATAGAACAACCAGAAAGCCCTGACAAGGAGAGGTACCGTTTTGGAGTGAACCGAATTAGTTTTTGAGTAAACTTGTCAAGGGCTGGGAGGGAGACTCTCCTAACTCTAACCCTCAAAACCACACTACAGGGCCCTGCATACAGCTAGACACAAGGACAGCCCCCCCCCCCAATACCTTCACTCTGCTTAACAACTAATTCCCACAACACTGTCAAATTATTTACTAAAACTGTATTATTCTTCTCATCCTTCCTATTACCTATCTATTCCCACTTATGACTATAACCATGTTGCTTGTATCTTTCAATTTATATTGTTTCTGTTTCCTAGTACAATTTGATAGTTTATTAGTAACCTTGACTATCACTAAGTGTTGTATCTTTTCATTCTCAATGAATGTATTTTCTTGTCCTTATGTACCGTGAGAGCATATGCACCAAATTCCTTGTGCGTCCAAACACACTTGGCCAATAAAGAATTCTATTCTATTTCCAATTCTATTATTCTATTCTATTTTATTCTATTCTATTCTATTCTATAATCTTATTCTATTCTATGCTCCCGATCCCCAGTTTTAAAGAGAGGGCAGCCCCTACCGGGCTCCTGGCGCCAAGCGGTCTCGCTGTCAAGCCTCTGCGCCGCTGCTCCCTCCGTCCCCGGCGGCTTCTCACCAGTTTGCGGCGCCCTCTCCGCCTCAGCCGCGCCGTTCGAAGACTGCGCCGGGCCGCAGCCAATGGCCGTCTCCGCTGTTTCTCCGGCGGGCGCCGCCTCCGCGCCCTCCCCTTGGCTCTGCCCCCGCGGCAGTTGCCGTTGGTGCGGCGGCGTCTCCTCTCGGACCAGGCCCCACCACCGGGCCCCGTTTTCCGCACAGCTCCAGCCTTCTCCTGCTGCCCCCGCCGGCGCGGCAGCCTCGCCCGGCTGGCCGCTGACACAGGCGGCGGGGACCGCCCTGTCCCCCTTCAGGGCCTCTTCGACAGCCCTTCCTGGCGGAGGCGCCGCGTCTGCCTCTCCGCCGGCTCCCGCCGCGGCCGCGCAGCTCCGCTCAACCGAAGCCTGGCGCGGACGCTTGAGAGCGGGCTCGGGGCTCTCGGCCTCAGCGGCCGCCGCGGCACCGTAGTTGCTGCTGTTGCTGTTGCCGCGGCGGCCGCCGCTCCGGGAATGGAGGAGTGGCATCTCCTCGTCGGCCATCTTGGAGCAGGAGCAACTGCTCCCTCCGCCTCCTCCTGTTTCCCCCCCCCCCGCCCTTTCAGTCAGTCGCGGCGGCCGCTCATAGTGGCGCAGCAGATAGAAGCAGCGGCCCCCACCTCAGAGAGAGAGGAGATGAGATTTAAACGCAGCACGTGACCCGGCCGACGCCCACGCGGGCCGAAACCCTGCGTAGCACCGCAACAACAACAAACGGGTCACATGACTAAGCGAGATTTCAATTTTTTTTTTAAAAAAAGCCAGCAGCGGCGCAGGAGGAAAAAGTGGAGGCGGCTTTCGTTGCGGAGGCGTCGGTCACGTGACGCCGCCCTCGTCGATCGTTTGCCGAGGCTCCCCTTTTCGGCGCTGATCGTAGCAGATTCGGGGCTGCCTCGTGCGTGGGTCCCTCTTACGCTCGTAGCTGAATCCCGTTCATTTTTTTTTTTTTTTTTTTTGCCCCTGAAAGCCTTCTTTAGGTGGCCTTTCCTGGTTCGGGTCCACCAGCGGGGCTGTTAAGGAGCGAGGGGGGAAAGAAGGTCGTGGGGTAAACCAAAGCATCAAAAGTCTTAAAGGCTGGCTGAGGAATTCTGGGAGTTGAAGTCCACAAGTTGCCTAGGTTGGAGACTCCTGCCATAGAGGCACAATACATCGCTATAGTATAGGAACTTAATAGTCTTCCTTTTATAAACTTCCTTGGACAGCGACCAAGGCGACGAAAACATAACTTTGCGACCAACACTTGCCACCTTTGTTATTCTCGGGAGGAAAGCTGAATAAGATAGTAAACACAGTTGAGGTTTCACTTAGTGACCACTTCGCTGAAGGACTGAGTTGCCATCCCAGTTGTGGTTGCTGAAAGAGGACTACCTGTAACTACAAGTCATGCTGGCTCAGGAATTCTGGGAGTTGAAATCCACAGGTCGTAAAGGGGCCATAGTTGCCTACTCCTGCCCTTCTTGTGCCATATCCGTCATTGGATGTTGGCAGTCCTATTTTTATCAATAGCTACGTGAAAAAGTGATGCCGAGTTTTATCCAAACCAGTCCTTTTTTGAAGCCACGATGTTCTTCAGCCTGGTCCACATTTGCCTTCAATCTTTCCTTGGAGGCTTAAGTGAAATATGCTGTATTTTTCTGGGTGTCACACCACATGTTACACCCCTGCCCTAAAGACTAAATAGAGAAATGAGACTGAGTCAAAGAAATAACTGGCTGGAAGGTGAGAAGTCACATCACTTCCCACAAGAGAATAAGAATGGATGGTGACAGTAGTGAAGATGGCAAAATTGACTTTTAATTAAAGACAGGATGTGTCTACTTTTGTTTTCACCTGGAAACAAGCTCAAATTGGGTGGGAGGGGTATTAAATTTTGATTTTAGGTTTTGTTGACTAGTTCAACTTCGTTATTATAGAAATGTTTCAATCAATTAGAAATGTAAAGCAAAAGATTGAAGTTTTAATTTTATTTGCACTTTATTGCACTGAAAAAATCAGAAATTGCTATTTTTTCCTTCATTCTTCGTATCTTTTCTCTTTCTTGACTATTGTTTCTATTTGTATTTTATTTGATAATAAACTTCAATACATTTTGTGAAAAAAGGCATTCTGGTGATTCATTTTCTCCTTTGGAGTATTTCAGTCAATTCTATAGGCACTCATAAGCCTGTCTGGTCTGATCATTGAGGAAAGCTATTCTGACAATGGGATGCTAGAGGAATTTGTAGGTATTTCCTTATCTGTGACTAGTCATTTAACGCTGGTTCAAAATTGCAGTGGACTTTAAAAAAAAAGTACTTACGACCTGTCCTCAAAGTCACAGCTGCCACCCTGTCTCCATAATCACGTGATTACATTTTGGTCACTTGTCAACCAGCTCACAACTATGACCAGTTGCAGCATTCCTCAGTTACATGACCATGATTTGTGACTTTTTGTCAGTTTCCAGGATGCTTTGCTGGATTTGCTTAATGATGAGGTGGTTGGCTTATTGACCTTGTGGTTTGTCTAATGATTGTGGTGACTTGCATTATAAAAACAGTTGTAAAATTGAATTGGGTCATGTGGTGTCTTGATTTATGACAATTTATGACCAAAATCCCAGGCTCTATTGAGAACTACCTGTATACTCTCTCACTTCCACCGTACTTGCCTTGGTGAGATGACCACCTGCCCTCTTCCATTTTCCCCTCCCAACCCTTCAGTCTCATTGTGTCCTCATTTACTCCAGCCATCAGGTTGTGCACTGATTTTTCAGGTCAACATTTCTCAGAATTTCTATGGAGATTCTCAAATCATCTAGGTCAGTGGTTCCCAAACTTGGCAACTTTAAAACTTGTGGACTTCAACTCCCAGAATTCTCCAGCTAGCTCTTCTGGCTGGAGAACTCTGGGAGTTAAAGTCCACAAGTCTTAAAGTTGCCAAGTTTGGGAACCACTGATCTAGGTCATGGTTATCCCAAAAGGTGCTTTTCCAAAAGTTCTGATGAGAAACTTCTAGGATGAGAAACAAAACGTTTTCAAGAGGGGGAAAAAAAAAAACAAAGTCCAGGTTCCTTTTGGAAAAGGACCTTTGGGATTTCTCAGAATTAAAAGCAACCAGGTAGTGGTCACCCTATGGGATTCCACAAGCATTTCAGCCAGTGCTGATATGGTGTTGAGTAACTCTTTAACTAAACCACAGTAACAAGAGGGATTTCTGTGTCCTGTCTTATTTATTTATTTATTTATTTTTAATGTATTAGATTTTTATCCCACCTTCATTATTTTATAAGTAACTCAAGGCAGCAAACTTACCTAATGCTCCTTCCTCCTCCTGTTTTCTCCACAACGACAACCCTGTGAGGTGGATTCGGCTGAGAGAGAGTGACTGCTCCAAAGTCACCCATCCAGTTTTCCTGTCTGAAGCAGGAGAAGAACTCAGAGTCTCCTGATTCCTAGGCCAGAACCTTAACCAAACTGGCTCTCCAGTTTTCAGTGCAAATATTTACATTTCCACTCTGCTCCCATCAGTATACAACTACACAGCTACTGGGGTTACACACTGCATTAACTCAGGGAGACAGCTGAACTGGTTCCATTATGTTGGACAGAAGTAAATTGCATTCTGTTACACCCAGCAAAGCTTTAGTTTCTTATTCTAATTTAAGAATGCAAAAAGATTGTTTACAGATACTACTACATATGTCCATTCTGACTTCTATTAAATTAGTCTGCTTGGTATTACTTAGTTTACAAATACTGCCCTGTGAACATAAATTTTAAACATAGGTGATCTTTTTTTTTGTAACAAACATGGTGCAAAACATGTTGTCCATGTCTAAATGGAACAGATTTCATCATCACTCACGTAATACTAGTACCCTAAAGTTGTGAAAACCGCTGGGCAAACAGAATTGTAAGTAATTATTTGTAACTATGTGAACAATCGATAGGATAAATACTCATGTAGGTATTTTCCTATGCTCTGTTACAGTGAAATCCTTTATATAAACAGTAATAATGTTTCACACTCAGAGGTAACATCAGAATTTTATATAATTTTGCAAAAAACACTGTTTGCTTACGCATACTTTGGTTTAGAATCTGAAACCAGGAATAGAATAAACATGGGGGGGGTCAGTTTAGTGAGGGGAAAGATTCTGTCATCATACATATGCATACATTAATTCAAAAGATTTTAAAGATTAAAATATAATTGAAATGAGAGATTTGGGGATTAAGCAGCTAGACAAGAATTCAAGGAACTTTCTTTTTACAAATGATAACGTCAGTGATGCTACTACAGTCTGAAAAGCAGAAAGGTTCAGCAATACCCACAATGGAGGAATGATTGGTGAATATGATGGAATCTGCGAAGATGACTAAATAATTTTCTTGGTTTAGAGAAAAATACCCAATATATTTATAATTGACTGGAAACCTCTAACAGATTTTTTATATACTGTAAAATGGAAAAAAAATGTACATATGATTTGTAGTTAAAACCTGGATAATAGAAAAGAGCGGAAATTATTGGAAATTCCTTCTATCCAGGACATAGCATATAAGCAATGCTGGGCCACGGTCCACAGTATTGTCTAGGATGCTACACATCCTGATAGATAGATAGATAGATAGATAGATAGATAGATAGATAGATAGATAGATAGATAGATAGATAGATAGATAGATAGATAGATAGATAGA